GGGAAGCCGAGTCCCTGTGAGTGTTAGTTATGGGGTAAGGAATTTTTAGATCTTCACAATTGTGGGAGAAGCTGGGGGAATAGATGCTCTATGCCTTGTACATGGTGTTTGAGCTCCTTAGCCTGTGCCTGAGTCTTAAACGGTCTTACCTCAACTCAGCATTCCAATCTGATCTCCCACAATAAAGTACCTCTGTTCCTAATCAGGGAATAGGAATCACAAGTGTCTGGATATGCCATTGCTTTTGTTCATTCTTTGCTTTTAAAATTCCATTCTCTTTTCTCAGTTTGTAGAAATCATTCAGGACCCGGTCGAAAAGCTACCTTCAGCATCAGCTACATGTGATCCCTCCCTTGACTGAAATCCTTTAGAACTTTCTATCATTTATTTAGTCATTGAATAAACACTTATAAGGGTCTGTGATATGGCAGGCACTATTATAGGAGATCGAGCTTTGGCAGTGAACAAAACGTGCCTGTCTTTGTGGATATTACATTATGCAAACTTTATATCTTGTGTTATTGTGAATATGCCTTTCTACTTCTAGATTTTTACGTTGCTTGGTGGCAAAGGGTATATCTTACTCAGGACTGTATCTCATTCAATGCAGGGTGTTGAGTATATTTCTTTTGAATTGAATAAAGAAATAGACGTGGAGAAAGATAAAATTTTCCATGAGTAAGCTATTTGCTGGGACTGAGAACAGTTGTAACAAGTTGCAAGCAACCAAAGATGGCATTTATTGCTAATGGTTCTAAGTTCTGCACTTGGGTTCTATAGCCCAGTATGTTTGGAAAAGCCTAAGTGGTCACCACCAAGTGACATGTGAGTTGCTGTGTGATTTAGTTGCCAGAGAAGCCAATTTGACTTATACCACATAAATGAAAGTATATTTTCTACGTTAAGAAAGGTGATAGCCCCGTTCAGCTTACTGATCCACTCTTCCTGTGTTACAATCTATTTTATTGGGGGGGGGGCATATTTTGTGACGGTTTGAGATGGAGGGAGAATTCAGAGAAGTGACCTGGGGTGGACAGGGGGAGGTGGCAGTCAGGGACCACACAATGGTGTCACAGTAGAATGGTAGAAGGAACTGGGAATGTCAATTCTGAAGAAGAAAATATAAGAGAAGGAAAGATAGTTGTGTTCAAACATGGGCAAGACTGTCACATGGAAGAGAGCTTGTGACTGTTCAGAGTGCTCTCAAGGGGGAAGACATGTGACCTGTACAAGAACATGGGAAGACAGATGAGCGCTCAAAGAAGGCCAAGTCCAAGTACATTTCCTTGGAAAAAAGTGAGATTCTCAAACTATGGCAGTTAACAACTTTCCTGGGGTGCTTTAGAAAATGGAACACTAGGGCTTAGGGTAAAGTAGGGAGTTGAAAATCAAGAGCCCAAATACAATCATCTACCCTGAGGTCTTTCATGAGATAACCAAAGAGATGACAGTCTTTCAGACTGAAGTTTCCTTTGTTTTTATTTGTGTATATTAGGGACTTGAATATGATCTGAGAGTCAAAATCCTTGGTTTCCTGTTTTCAAAATTTCCTGTTGGTACTCTGTGTAATCGTTCTGTGTCATCTTAAGTAGTTTCACTTTTCTGGGCCTTGAGGTCTTTAGTTGCAAAGCATCTGAATGTGATCTATTGGGCTGTGCTGAACCTTAGCAAGTGTGTGTACAGAAGAATCTTTGAGACTTGTGAGATTTAATGTCTTATTCGAATCGAAGAACGAAATTTTTATGTTTCTTTTGGATGTGATTTTAAAAGTTCTACTTAAAGACCATTTTGCTGAGTTCATTTAGACCCTCTCTCCTTGGTTTATGCTTAATGGCACACGCTTCAAGGGTCTCTGGTCTCTCATGATTATTAAAGATGATCAGTTTTATGATACCACATCCACATGCCTCTCAAATTAGTCTTTTGTGGCCTCAGATGTAAATCAGTTCCTTTCTTAGTACAGGGTTCATTTTGTTTCTTGAAATTAGGTATTCATTCTTGGTGAGATATGAATTATTGATCACCATTTTTGTTTCAGGAAGCACAGATCAATACAATAGTTGGAAGAGCTGGAATTTATATCAATTAAGATTAAAAAAACACATAGTTTTCTTCAGGACGCTGTGTAAATGCAGAAAATTAAGATGTGATCCCTGCCTACAAGCTTAGATTTTGGTCAGGGAGATGATTATTATATGAGAAGCATTATTCACGTAACTTCTTTTTCCTACGAGAGTTGCACATAGTTCATTTACGTAGCCTCAGTACATTTTACAGTCATAGGAGCTGTTCTTTTTTTTTTTTTTTTTTTTTCACTTTTTTTTGCATTTATTTTTTGTGTCATTTATTACTAGGCCATAAGTTTTTGTTTCTTCAGTTTCTTCTGGGATATCTTTTTCTTCTGGGCAACCTCCTCTTCTGGTTTAGGAACAATCTGTTCTTCTTCAGTGAAGATCATCTCAGTGTGGCAGGGAGAGCTCATGTATGGGTTGATCTGACCATGAGCTCTGTAAGTCCTGCACCCCATCCTGGGGGCTTTGTTCACCTGGATGTGCTCAATGACCAGAGAATTTACATCTAAGCCCTTAAGTTCAGCATTACTCTCTACATTTTTGAGCATGTGCAGTAAAACTTCAGCACTCTTTTGGGCCACCAACCCTGCGTCCAGCCCCATTGTTTGGCCAGGGCACACCTACCAGCTCCACCATTGTAACAGCGGAATGGCACACACTGCTTCTTTAAAGTGACATCCTTCAGATACTTGGTGGCTTTTCGGATATGTGTACCCTTAATGGCCTGGGCAGTTTCACAAGTATTCTTAAAGTGAATGTGAAGACTTGAACCTCTCGACTTGCATGATTTTGTGTGGTTTTCTGGGACAGGTGAATAACAAACCACTTTTAGAGGTCATACATTAACATTAGCATCACTGACCCTTTGTCAAGAGACTAAGTGCTTTGAGTGATGTTATTTTACTGGGTTGTCTTCATCATACACTAGAAAAGAAGATGGAGTAGATGTTACGAACCTGATTTTTTAAAAGTGAAAGGCAGGAGAATTGGTGATGCTGCAGCAGGTGGATGCGGGCTCTATAATCAGACCTTCAGTTTGCTGAGCAGTGTAGTAAAGTTTCTATTATGGTGGAATTTATGGGGGAAGGAGGGCTGATTTTGGCTTCCTATAGCTGTTGTACCAAATAATTCAAAATAAATAGAGAAGTGTAAATTTAAATAAAAAAGATTGTTGCTGGATCGTCACCTCTGCTGAATGAACTAGCAGGTAGGATAGGACTTGATATGTAGGGTCTCTGGGGAATAAATAATTTTTTTTAAAAAAATAGACAACCTGCAGCTCAGATCAACACATATATATGGAATCTAAAAAAGGGGAAAAAATGGTACTGATGAACCTAGTGGCAGGGCAGGAATAAAGATGTAGACATGGAGAATAGACTTGAGGACCTGGGGTGGAGGGGTGGGAAGCTGGGATGAAGTGAGAGCGTAGCATTGACATATATACACTACCAAGTGTAAAATGGGTGGCTAGTGGGAAGCAGCCGCATAGCACAGGGAGATTAGCCTTGCGATGACCTAGAGAGGTGGGATAGGGAGGGTGGGAGGGAGGCTCAAGAGGGAGGGGATATGGGGATATGTGTATGCATATGGCTGATTTACTTTGTTGTACAACAGAAACTAACACGGTATTGTGAAGCAATTATACTCCAATAAAGATCTATTAAAAAAATATTGGAGAAACTTTTTTTTTTTTTTTTTTCCCGGTACGCGGGCCTCTCACTGTTGTGGCCTCTCCCATTGCGGAGCACAGGCTCCAGACACGCAGGCTCAGCGGCCATGGCTCATGGGCCCAGCCGCTCCGCGGCATGTGGGATCCTTCCGGACCGGGGCACAAACCCGTGTCCCCTGCATCGGCAGGCGCACTGTCAACCACTGTACCACCATGGAAGCCCTGGAGAAACTTTTAAAACCACACTGTAGTTGTCTTTTTCTTCAGATGTCTTAGCTTTGTTCACGTTTCTCTTTATACATACAAATAGAATAGAGCATAATCTTACCCTTCTGTACTAGTTTTTGTCCACAGCAGTGATTTGCCACTACCCTGTGGGTTTTATGTTTAAATCCATGAAACAGGGCTTGCCTGGTGGCGCAGTGGTTGAGAGTCCGCCTGCCGATGCAGGGGACACGGGTTCGTGCCCCGGTCCGGGAAGATCCCGCATGCCGCGGAGCGGCTGGGCCCGTGAGCCATGGCCGCTGAGCCTGCGCGTCGGAGCCTGTGCTCCGCAACGGGAGAGGCCACAGCAGTGAGAGGCCCGCGTACCGCAAAAAATAAAAGAAAAGAAAATCCATGAAACGTCTGAAAGTGATTCAGATGTAATTAACATGGGAGAAGGACCTTAATAGAATAGAAACTAGATGTTATTAACTTTATTATTGCCTATGTTAATATAATAAAACCTCAGCTTGTGCTTGTTTTGGTAGAAAATTACCTGATATAATTGAACTAATTAAAAAATATTAATTTCCAGGGATGTTCTGATTTCCATAATATTGAGACCAACTGGCTGTGAGCATCATTTTGTCATCAACTGCCTCAGAATTGTACATCTCCTTTTTCTGTTTCCTCAGTACCCAGCACTATGTCTGACACATAGAGGGTACTCAATAAAAATTAATGAAGGAGAGTTACTATCAAGCAAAATGTCACTGAGTAGCTATGAGATTCTGAATCATCAAGAAGTATTCACTTTTGTTCTACATGCTGCATTTCCTAAGGCAGGAGAGGGGACCAAAATCCCTTACGTGTTTGTTTGGAATTAACGTTGCTAAAGGTTTCTTATAGAAGTAGATAAATTAATAATTGGCTATAAGCTGTCTTCTTGAAGATTCCAGTTAGAAGTATTCATCCTCATTCAGTGTTTCCTTTTGTCTGAACATTGGCTGTGCTGACTTGGATGCTTGCTCTCATTGTTATGTGTGGAGCAGATGATCGACAGAATATGTGTGAAAGTACAAGATCATCTCAGCTCTTTACGAAACTATGGGGGAGATGCTGTCCAGGAAGATCTAAAATCAGCAGAAAGGCTCATGCGTGATGCTAAGAACTCTAAAACGGTGAGTTTCACTTCCAGCTACATGAGTCCTGTGGAATAAAAAGACTTTTTAAACTTTTTAAACTAGTTTTAGAAACTAGTTCTAACTAAATTTACTTTTCTACCCAATTTCAAGGTTACTAACAAGTGGCAAGGTGAACTGAGTTAGTCTTTGCCTCCTTTCTGTACCCGTGCTAATTACCAGCAATCAAAATACAGTTGTCCCTCAGAATCTGCAGGGGGATTGGTTCCAGGACCCCCTGCAGATACCAAAATCTGTGGATGCTCAAATCCCTTATATATAAAATGGTGTAGCACAGGTGGGCCTCCTTATCCGCGGGTTCTGCAGCCTCGGATACAGCTAGCCGGCTGTATAGAATTAAAAGCAGAGGGTCGGGCTTCCCTGGTGGCGCAGTGCTTGAGAGTCCGCCTGCCGTTGCAGGAGACGCGGGTTCGTGCCCCGTTTCGGGAAGATCCCACATGCCACGGAGCGGCTGGGCCCGTGAGCCATGGCCGCTGAGCCTGCGCGTCCGGAGCCTGTGCTCCGCAAATGGGAGAGGCCACAACAGTGAGAGGCCCGCATAACGCAAGAAAAAAAGAAAAAAAAAAAAAAAAAAAAAAAAAAAAAAAAAAAGCAGAGGGTCAGTGTGATTCACAAAGGGTATAATCAGGTTCTAGGTAACTGGGAGGTAGGTGTAGTTTCAATGAGTAGCAATTCATTGCACATGATTCTACTGCCAAACTGATAGCACGAAACTCTCCTCTGTCACCTCTAAAAGGAAGCTTCTCTCAACTTAGACTGTGGTCCCCAAAGTGTGATTTCATAGAGAAAGGACTAACTGGGAGTCAGAAAACCTGGGATCTGGTCCAGGCTCTGCTATTAGAATCACACAATCATTGAATTTTATAAGTAGGAGGAACCTCGTGGATTAGTCAAATACTCTCACACCTGAGATGGAACACATTAAGGCACAAACAGGTAAGGTACTGTTCCTCTGGGTTTAAAGTTGGACCTCAGTTTTTTAATTGGTATAAAGGGCCTTTCATCAAGACGATCTTTGTTTATCTCTAGTATTTCTCGACCCTGTTTTATGAACTCTGCAGTGACTTTGGTGCTTATTTAAATATTTATTATGGAGAGGTTACTTTTATTTTTCTTACAGTTGTTACCAAATTTATACCATGTTGGTGGTGCATCTTGGGCGGGAGCCAGTGGCTTGTTATCCAGTCCAATTCAGGAGACCCTGGAATCAATGGCCGGAGAAGTCACGAGAGTTGTAGACGAACAACTCAAGGTTTGTGGTTTCTGTTATTTTGGAAAATGAAATCGTTATGACTTAACTATGTATGATAGCATTTAGTACCATGCTATCCTATATTTTATAGGTGCATGTGTGCGCGCACGTGTGCATGTGTAGTAAAAATTGAATACCGTGCCTTTCCCAGCTTCATTTGTAGTTTTTGGAATAACTTTGCATAATAAGATCAAGTAAAACCTATCAAATTCAATTTTGTTTTTGATGGTAAATCTCTAACCGTATTTAACGTATGACAGGTTGCCACTGATAAGGGAAAGATTGATTTTTGCTTAGAAAGAGAAGTCTGCTTCGCGAAAAAATATCTCCTGTTACTACATCCGATTTAGAGAATGGGAGAGATGACAGGAGCTGTGTGCTTACAGTGCCGAGCTGCTGCGTATATGGAGAGTTTGCCACTATGTAAAGAGCTGGTTGAAAGATTAAAGAGGGGTTTAGAATGAAGTTACAAGGCACCCAAAGTAGCAGAGACTTGTCTATAGGCTCAAAGGTTGAAAAAACAAAAAAAGTCTTTGAAATTTAAGTGACAAGAGTAACCTAAGACCAGCTTTTTCCTAAGGTAACTTCAAAAAAACAGCTACAGCAGAAGACATTTCACTTTCCGAAAGTTTTCATCATTTTCAATCTGTCTGTTCAAGGATGCCTTAAAAAGACCTTGTCTAAATTTCTGTGTTTATTTGGTTCATTTTCTTCTGAGAACACAATTGCTGTAGCTCAGAGGGATTTGATGAGCAACTCAATCATAACTTTGCAACATGCTAATTATTCTGTTTGTAAATTTAATTAATGTGGGAGAGAACGTTGTGGATTATTTAGGCGTTTAAGCCCCTTTCTTCCTGTATTACAATACAGAGAGACTCTTGTGTATCATTTTTATTTTACTTAACTGTGGTTATTTTGAATACATTCTGAGCAAAGACAAAGGGGTAGGAAAAGGACTGGTTGGTTGATACAGAGTTCTGCTAGATCAGTTGTTACCTAACAGCACTTGTTTTATCCTCCATGAAGGATCAGATATGTAAAAAGGATACTTTCTTACACATTTAAAATAAAGTCATCTTTGTTGCTTATTTACTTCTGACTGTAAAAAATGAAACTACTCTTTGTGAAACATCTGAACAGTAAAAATCACTTGAAATCCCGGAGATAGCATCATTCTTAATATTTTAGTGAATTTCCAAACATTCTCTGTCTACACACACAATTTTACGTATGTGATCATACTACACGTACTTTTTTATATTTGGTCCAATATCGTGAATACAATTCTAGATCAGTGAGTACTCATCATCATTTTAGTGGCTACATGGTATTTCATTGTGTAGATGTCCCAGTGTACTGGAGAAGCTCAGTCCTCCTCTGTGTCTCTCCTTTACTTTCACACAGAACTCCTCACTTTTGACACTTCTGGTCACCAGATGTGAGCGGTTCCCCCCCTCCCCCGAGCTGGGTGTCCTACTATTTAACTCAGTTCAGACACTATCTACCTGGAGATAGCATTAGAGCCCACAGTTTAAGGGCTCAGTCCCACAAGACTGCCCCTGCCCCCACCCCACTTCAGATACCAACCGGGAGTCCAGTTTGTACCTGAGCTCCCGACCAATTGGCAATAAATATGAGGTTCTTATAACCCCTCCTCCAGTTCAATTAACTTGCCAGAGTGGCTCCCAGAACTCAGGCAAACACTTATGTTTACCAGTTTATTAAAGGATATGATAAAAGATATAGATGAACAGCCAGATGGAAGAAATGTACAGGTCAAGGTATGTGGGAAAGGTTTCAGGGCTTCCATGCTCTCTTGGAGCACACCACTCTCCCGTGCCTCCACGTGTTCACCAACCCTCTGAACCCATACTTTTGGGATTTTGATGGAGGCTTCGTCATGTAGGCATGGCCAGTCATTAACTCCATTTTTAGCCCTCCTTAGGAGGGGGGTGTGGAGCTGAAAATTCCAAGCTTCTAATCGTGGCTTGGTCTTTCCAGTGACCCTGGAAAGCCCTCATCCAGGAGCCACCCAAGAGCCCACCCAATAAAGCAAAAGACACCCCCATCACCCAGGAAATTACAGGGGTTTCAGGAGCCCTGTGTCAGGAACCAGGATCAAGGACCAAATATTAGAACAAAAGATGCTCCTAGTGTTCTTATCACTTAGGAAATTACAAGGGTTTCGGGAGCTCTATGCCAGGAACTGGGGGCAGAGACCAATATATATTTTCTATTATCTCACAGCCAGCATAATTTATTTTCTAATTTCTGATTAATCCTATTAGAGTCAATGCCTGTAGTTGATCCATCCCGAGGTCAAATGGTACACACATTTTATACGTTCGTATGTATTCACAAACTGTTTTCCAGTAGTGTACCCAGTTGCTTGTTTTGTCACACCCTCACCAATACTAAGCATTTTAACGTTTTAATATTTGTCAGTGTAACGGGTTAAAAAAAATCTCATTTTGTCTTTCGGATTTCTTTAATAGCCAGTGATGCATCAAGTAATTTTGTTATCCATTGGTATTTCTTCTTTTGTAAATTACATATTTGTATCTATTGCCTTTTTCCTTTAAAGTTTTTGTAAGAATTCCTTATATACTAGGAATGGGCTGTCATTTAAATCAGCACGAAACGTTGCAACTGGAACTTTCCTGTCAAACAGCTTCCTACGGGCACTTGTTTCAACTGGTCTAAACCACAAGTTATCCCTTGAAATTTTGGTCCGTTTCCTCCCCAGCACACCAGATGGTTGGAATTGACTCTTGCCAGTCATTCTTGGAAGGGAGTAGAAGGCAGAGGTCTAAAGTAAAAGGCATTTGGATTTTTAAAAGCCTGAAATAATAACAATATATTTAGGACCAAAAATATTTTTCTGTAAATAGACATTCCCCAGATTTTTTGAGGCTGACCTTTCTGGCCCCTTGTCAGTGTCACCAGTGTTCTCCAGTTCATTACAGCTTCCTTATTTGCAAGTGTCATCACCTGCTTTTGTCTCATTCTGTCTCTGAGGTCCCAGGCTCCCAAAATGCCCTGATTTTTTCTATTGCCCACTCCCTTGTTTTCTTTACTCTCAATCCTTTTGAGTTGCAAGTTCTCTTCCCTTCTCTTCCCTTCAGGGACTTCTGGCATGAATCAAAGCAAATCCTCAACCACAACTTTTTAATTAAATGTTACTTATTAATTTCCCTTTCACTGAGTTCACAGTTTTTGATACTTTCAACAGACTATAGACAGTTACTTCCTTTCTTTTTCCTTCCAGTTGACCTGACAAGTGGACATCATTTTATGATTAAAAAAAAAAAATCCCCATTTATCTATTTATATAGCTTTCCAGCACCTTGATTTTCTTAAAATTATGTAGGAAAAGACTGTATTTTTACTACAATCAATATTCAGCTTCTTAAATTAAACAACTGTGTCCTTATTTATTTCACTAGTAGTATTATATTTTGTTTAGTTAAAAAAGAGTCCTTTCTCTATTTCTGAAATTCTCTAAGATTAACATGTTATACTAGCAAAAGCTAAAGTGTAGGTACTTTTTTGTAAAAATATGTTTTTATTGTAGTGAATTAAAAAAAGTGGGACTAGCAAGCCTGGATTTGTGACCTGGGTTTGCTACTAGCTGTTTGCTCCAAGCAAGCCACCTAATTTGTTGGGACTGAGCCTCCTTGTGCAGGATTGTCTTGGTCTCGAGATAATTAGGGAGATTTTATCCTTAATATTTACTCATCCTGTATCATGGCCAGCAGTACACATTTTGAATTCTGGATAAGGATAAGTTCAAATAGCTCTTTGAGTCGTCTTTCAAAAACTAGTTCAGAAAAGCCAAAGAAATGGCCGGAAGAGCCAGGCTTCTTAGCAAACTTCCCGGAAGAGAAGAAAGCAGTAAGTGTGGAGAAAGTCCTTCTTTGAAACGAAGTGATATTTTCTCTGGACTGGCCTGTTTTAGGTGTTTTTAAATGACAACTCACCTCCTGTTTTTCATCCTAACATTTATTCCTGGGGTAATCGTAGATGAATAAGTGGGATCTGAATGTTTTAACATAAGGGAACTTTCATTTTCCCCTTCTGGACTTAAATTTTAGAATGCTTGTTTTGGCCTTGAAAATGCTTCATTTCCCCGCAGGGCTTCAACTGTGAAATACCAGGCCTTCACTGGTAAATATCAGGTTTACCAAGGAAATGAGGCCTGAGGGGTGTAGGTGGCATTTTGGCAAGTACTAACTCAGTTTGCTGGGAGAGTTCTCTGAGTTTTCTTATTTTCCTACATTTTATATAATATTTTCCAAAGCAAAAGAAAGAGAAATTTCAGAGCACTTCAGTGTGGAAGTTGTATTTGCTTGTAATGAATTACAGCTAGTCATTTGTTCACTGCAAGAATATGTGAGCATAGCTGCCATGTTAAGGATATTAACTCAATTTATTTTACAAATATTGTACAAGGTTTAAGTACCATTAGTTATTTTTACAGTTAAGAAATATAGATTCTCCTAACTATCATTTGGAAGATACATGCAAAATGAAATCTGATTATCACATTTCAAATACAGGGCCTGCTCATTCAAGTTTTCTCAAGGTGGTACACATAGACTCACAAAATGGAGAATATGTAAGAAAAGTTAAGAAACATGGCTAGAGTGAGAAAATTCAACATAAGCCAAATTAGATTTCCGGAAGGAAAGAGAAGATAAATAGGAGAAGGTAACAGTTGAGGGGATGGTGGCTGAGAATTTCAGGGATTGATGAAAGGCTAGAATCTTCAGATTCAGGAAGTCCAGCAAAACCCAGGCAGGAAAGATAGAAGCAAATCCATGTCTCGAATCATCGTAATGAAAAGTGGAAAACACTGAAGACAAAGAGAAGATCTTAAAAGGAGCCAGAGGGAAGGAAAAGCCATATTACTTTAAAAAGATCAAAATTAAGACGGACAGGACAGCTCATTTCTTGACAGGAAGCTAAAAAGACAATGAAATAATATCTTCATGCTT